TTGCCGAAGATATCAGGATACTCAAAGCCAGCGTAAAGTGAAAGAAGACCACCGAGACTACTACCCCCTATTCCGGTCGATGTTCTGTCAGCCAAAACCCTGAACCTGTTGTCAATCATGGGTTTGAGATCTTCAAGCATAAATTTAAGATAAAGATCTCCTTCGGCTTCGCTATATCGGGGCGTGCTATAAGGCAAGAGTTCCTGAATCCTCAATTCCCCACCGTGGTCAATGGCGACAATGATAACATCACCCATACCTTGTGCTGACAGCCAGGTAAGTGTTTTATCTACTCCCCAATTGCCGTAAGGGGCATATTCGTCAAATAAGTTTTGCCCGTCATGTAAGTACAGAACAGGGTATCTTTTATCTGTCTCATAATAATTATGTGGCAACAAAACTGATATGCGCCGTTTCCTTCCAAGCTGTGGAATTTCGTAAGCTTCATTCAGAATTTCGATTTTGGGGTAAAACGATTGTACTGCTTCTCTGATCATATGAGCGCAAAATTACGATATTAAAATATTTTTTAAAGATTTTTTTTTGGAAAAACTGGTAAAACTACTTTTCCTTAAACATGTATTAGCCTTTTTATGGTCTGAATTCGTTTACTTCCTATTCCATTTATGCCAATGTTAAAACCTTGGAAGTCAATTTCTAAAAAGGTAATCGATTTTTGTTACTTTAAGAAATAATGACAAAAAGATAGACGCAAAACTTCTTTCAAACACTTATTTTATCCATTATATTTGCATCTGTTTCACAATTGATACTAAATCAGAGACCATTATTTCATGGCAACAATCATCGTAAGCATTTCGATTCCTATTATATTGGTCTTAGCGATCAGATGGATCTACAAAGATTACGACAAAATTTCAAAAGAGGACAAAGATAAAATGATGATGCCTTAAAATTGGAATTGACTTGATCTTATTTTGTCCTAAGCTGTTACTTCACTCTTATTAGTTCTCACTACCCGAGCACTATATAAAACCTGCTTCCGCACGGCCTTAGTGCTTCATACTCCAATCTGCCTCCATGCATCTGGATGATCTGACGAGACAGGCTTAGACCAATACCGGTACCCGTAGGTTTTGTGGTGAAGAATGGTACAAAGATTTTGTCTGCATCTTCCGGTTTTATTCCTGAGCCATTATCGACTACTTCAATAATTTTGTCCTGTTGGTTTAAATATGCTTTGATAGTGATTTTTGCATTTTCTATATTTTCTGTAGCTTCGACGGCATTTTTCAAGAGATTGATGAGTACCTGACCTATCTGATCACTGTCTGCATGGATTTTAAAATTACTATCTAAAATAAAGTCAATTGGTTGATTTTCAAAAAGTGATTTCAGTTCATCAAATACCTGTGATATGTGCAGCTCTGAAACATTGGGCAAAGGGATGTTGGTGAATTCTCTATAGGCATTGACGAAATTCATGATGCCCTTGCTACGGTTAATGACTGTATTGATGGCATTTTTGAGATCTTTGACACCTTCTACCTGCTGATGGCCTGACACATCTTTCAGGTCTGTATCGATGATATCTCTCATCGTCTGAGATAGTGAGACTATGGGAGTCACCGTATTCATGATTTCGTGACGAAGTACTTTTGTGAGATTTTGCCATGCTTCGAGTTCTCGGTTTTGAAGTTCTGAGCGGATATTATGTAGTGCTATCAATCTGATCTTGCGGTCTCTCAGTATGATTTCTTTGACACTTAAGGAGATCTCCTGATTACTGACTTTCAGTAGTTTGGATTCACCTGACGGCAATGTGGTCATAAGTTGGTAGATATCAGGTTGTTGTATATTTATGGCGGAAACGTGGGAAAGCTTATAGATGCCCATGATCTTATTGGCTGCCTGATTGATGAGTTCGATTTTTCCATCCGTGTTGTACGAAAGTATCCCGACATTGATCTGCTGTATGATGGCTTGAATAAAATGCAAAGTAGCTTCACGCTCTGCACGCACCTGATTGAAACTTTTGATGACGGCATTAAGGCTGGCATTCAAATCTTCGAAGGATTCCCCTTTAGCATTGTCTGCCCGAAAAGTAATGGCAAAATCTTCGTATTGGATGGAATCAAAGATGCGGCTCAGTTTTTTGTTGAGAGAAGTGGTAAAATGATATAGATTGTAAGCAGAAATCAACATCATACCAACCATTAATATGAAGATTCCATGATTATTCTGATACCACGACCATGCTCCGATACAGGCCCAACACGCGATGAGCATTATTCTGATGATGATACCTGTGGAGAATGAACGCATAAAGGAGTTAAAATTCTATAATCTTAGACAACAAATTAATCAAATCTTTATCAGTAATATCATCTTGCTCGGATTTGTCATAAATAGTTAACAAAACCACTTTTGTGTTTACTATATGTACAAAAGTAATAACTCTCGCTCCGCCAGATTTTCCTCTATGTTTTGATGCAATGGCAATTCGAATTTTATAACAGTTTTTTTCCAATTTATCACCCTGAGTTGGATGAACTTCCAGAGATTTTATCAGTTCTGCAAAATCATCTTTAAGAGATGGGTACTTCTTTACCAAACGTTTCAGTTGTTTGGTAAATAATTTAGAACCTTCAATACTATAGCTCATTTAAAATTTCTTCAGCTGATTTCAATTTCACCTTGCCTTGTATGGCTAAATTTACTTCATCAACCGATTCTTCTAAGTCCTTAAGGAATTTTTCTTTCTTTTTATTTACCGTAACGACTTTAATAAACGGCAGGCTATTGAGTAATTCCATTACAAAATCCGCCTTGTTTTCATTGACATCCAAAATTACCTTCATACCTTAATTGATTATATGAATAACAACATTGGTTAAAATTAAATGGTTCATATTGCCTATATCCCATACTTCTCAATCCTTCTATACAATGCCTGCCTCGTTATGCCCAGCTCTTTTGCAGCATCAGTGATACTTCCATTGTATTTCTTCATCATTTTGATGACCAATTGTTTCTCCATCTCTTCAATTTGATAGCTATTCAGTGTCACTGAGCTACTTGATGATGTGCGGTTTTGCCCTTCAAATGCGTCTTCACGTATTATATTTCCGGATGTCAGAATTACGGCTCTTTCTATGGCATGCTGGATCTCCCGGATATTGCCCGGCCAGGTGTGGGTCAGGAGTTTTTTCTCAAAAGCAGCTGCCATGCCAGTGATTTTGCGATTGTATCTGGCAGCGTATATCCTGACAAAATGTTTTGCCAATAACAACACATCGTCTCCGCGTTCTCTCAATGGAGGCAGATGAATTTCTATAGTGTTGATTCTGTATAGCAAATCCTGACGAAAAGTTTTTTCTTCTATTCGCTTATAAATATCTTCATTGGTAGCACAGATAAGTCTTGCATCAAATTTCATAACATTATTGCTACCTACCTTTATATATGATCCATTTTGTAAGGCGTACAATAATTTGCTTTGTTGGGTCAAAGGAATATTGCCTATTTCATCCAAAAACAAGGTGCCACCATCGGCTTCCTGTAGCCTGCCTTTTCGGTCATCCCGCGCATCAGTAAACGCACCTTTGACATGACCGAATAATTCACTTTCAAATAATGACTCGCTGATAGATCCTAAATCTGTATGTATAAAGGGTTTTTTGGCTCTTTTTGACTGTTTGTGTATTTCTTTGGCCAACAAATCTTTTCCGGTACCATTTTCGCCAAGGATAAGCACATTGGCATCTGTAGGACCTACTGTTGCTACCATTTCGTGTATTTTCAGGATCTCAGGACATTGACCTATGATTTCTGAATGGGAATTATAAGAAGAATTGGGCTCTACATTTAGAATGGTGGTGATTGTAGATAGCAATTTATCATTTTC